TAGATGGTGAACCCACTATGGTGAATGGGTTTCTGAGCTTTGGTGCCTGGGAAAGGCAAAGTGCACTCACCGCTGGTTGGCTTGGGGCTGGTCGTTGGCTTTTTGCTCTTGGCCTTTGCGGCCTTCTTCGTGGTCTTCTTGGCCACTTTGGCCTTCTGTGTGGAAGCTTCAGGCTCCTGACTGTCAGCAAGGCGCTTGCCGGAACCCTTGTTGTGTTGGAGCTGTGCCCTCACAGAAGCGGCCATGGCGTCCACCGTTTTGGGCGGTGTGACTTCCACAGGTATGGTCTCCTTGACTTGTGGAGTGTCCTCCAATTTTGGTTTGGCAGGCTCTGGGCTTGGACTTGGAGCTGGGCTAGCCTCGACTTCTGCTGGTCCATTCATGATGGCCAAGGGCTGCTTCCTTTTGTTGGTAAGATAGGTCAAACCAAGCTGTTTTTGAAGCGCCTGGCCGGCCAACATCTGCTCCAACATACTCAGAACCTGCGACCCCACATTGCCAGTGCAAGTGGGAGAAGGAGCATGCCGAGTGCCTCGAACCACCGTCCTTGTATTCCGGGCTGGTAGGTCAGCGGCCAAGGCCTTCAAGGCCCATTCATCCAAAGGATTTTTTCACAGGTACCTGGCCAGCGGGGTAAGCAGCCTTGAAAAGAGCTTCTGGGAGTTCTTGGGGACAAGGAGGGTACAGCAAGAGTTCACTCCTCTTGCGGCTCTTCGAGCAATTCTTCACTGCAGACTTGAAGTCCTGAAGCATATGGTATACCTTCATCCCATCAACTGTGAGATTCTCTGGCGCACCTTGGTGGGAAGCCAGCAACAGGAGTGATATCGCCAAAGCACTTGTGAGCTCTGAAGTAAGGCCCAACGCCACAAAGCGCTTGCAAAGAGCCAAGATCTTGACATTGCAGCCCTGCTTTCCTTGAAGAATCTCCCACTCCTCTGCAGCGAGGTAGTGTTGCAAATGCAAATTTTCCTGCAAGGCGTTGTGGGCAACTTTCTTCACAGGGCCTGAGCCGTTCACACTTCCATTTGCAACCTTTTGTTGCACACATTCGACAATGCCATCCTTCATCCACACAGGAATTTCAGCTGCTTGGACATCCCGGAGTATGCTGGTGGCATCTGGCATTGATAGATTCAAATCCTTGAGATCTACGAGGCAGCTCTCCAAAATCTTTCTGTGGGCCTCCTGAAAGGAACTGCTACCATCGGCTGCTACAGCTTTCAAAGTGGCCAAGAAAGCCAGCATGTCTTTCATTCGCTGGGCTGCCATGAGTGAGGGCCTCAAGACTTCAAGGGGTAACCTCTTGAGCGCAAACCAGGCGAGCCTTGGTTGGGTGAAGTGTGAGCCACAGAATTGAGGATGTGCAACATTGAGGATGTGCGAACTGTCGAAGTCAAATGGTTCAAGACTATATAGTGAAGCCACCCTGACCATGGAAAAACTGGTGGAAAAGGTTCTGGGATCAAAGTTGGGACCCTATAGAACCCTACGTTGACTGAACCGAATACTGCCCAGCACAGCACTCAAGACCTTTTTCACGACAGAAAGTCTGGCTACGCAGTTTGGAAATGTATCGAGGCGAGCCTCCAAAACTCCATGAGCAAATCCTTGGGCTGAAGATCCTCAGTTCACGAGGAAGACGATGACAAAAACCGGTACTTGTAGTACTGGCGGCGCTGAATCGGTGTTTTCTTCTTGGACGCTTTCTTCACCGTTTTGCTGCTTCCTTTGGCTGGTTTCTTCTTTGGCGCTTTCTTGGCGGCCTTGGCTTTGGCCGCTGGTCGTTTCATGGCCTTTGTCTGGGGCGAGCCTCCAGAACATCCTTGAGAGCGCTCGTCCATGTACACCTCGAAGTTGTGGCAGGCGTCAGCCACTGCTTGGTCCAGCAAGGATCCCACCACCTTCGTTTTCTGGGGGATCCCCCCCTGCCAACTGGTGAAGGACGCCATGCAGAACTGCCATCATGAGCGGAACAGGGTAAGCATTACCGCTGGCCTTCACCCTCAAGGTATCGCTGGACCCTTCCAGAACACTGGGCGAAAACCCTTGCAGAACCATCCTCTCCGAAGGGTGCAGAAACCTCAGGAACTTCCGTTGGCCATTTGGACGGGAGAAGTCCAGCGAAACCACAAACAAGTACGTGTTGTTTGTGGTCAAAGTAGGGACCAAATTGGTGGTGTAGCTCCTCTTGTACGCCTTTCCATCTGCGCGGTCGAGAGGGAAGACGACCAGGTCTGCTGCGTCCAAGTGGCCATCTTGAAGCATTGCCTTCAAATGAGCCTGTGCATCTTTGAGGTTTTTTTGCATGACCTCAGTCAATGTCTCCAACTTGCAGTTGGGCAAATCTGGGCTGAGGAACTCCTGGAGTTGGCGGCTGCCAAAGGGAGTCAGTGGAGCTGACCGGGAAGTCACTCTTCCGAACACCTCGTAGGAACACCCTGGTTCTCTGCTGGGCAAGCAAGTATGAAGAAGCCTGCAAGGTGTGAACTCCCCACTGGAACTCAGCACACTCCTGTCGGAGGATGTGCAAGATTTGGTCCATGAAGGAACAGGTGGAACCCTTGATTTTGGCCAAGATTCCTTTGACGTTCTCTATGCAGCAGGCATGCAAATCCCCGACCTTGATTAAGGCAATGCAAACCTTCATCACAACGATGAACACATCAGCTCGGTGGTCATGCTGGCCCTTGTGATTTCCTTGGCCTGCCCAGGGTGGACATGGTGGTCCACTCACAAGCAAGTCGACAGGCCTCTCGACATCAGAGAGTTGAAGCTGACAAAGGTCGCCATCCTTCTTGCCCAGGTGCAACTGCACATTTCCACCTAGGTGCTGTGTGAGGTAGGCCTGGTACCGGTGCTCTAAGTCATAGACATTGTTTGCCTGATACCTGACGCCAAGCGCGTCCAAGGCAGTGCCGCACCCATCGATGCCAATGCATGGAGTTGCGACATACAAGGGCCGTTTAAACGCTGGAAGGGCCGGACACAAGCCCTCCCATGCGTTTGGATCCAAAGTGGTCCTGATAATCCTCTTTGGTGCCATTGTTGGGCGAGCCTCAACTACAGTGGCTTGGTCCAAAGCAGCTACAGGCTGTCGGGGTGAAAAATTTGTTACAAACTTTGTTTCAAACCAAAGCAAACAAAATTGTAATGGTGGGCCCCTTTTTT